TCTGTGACTTTGAAGATGCTAGTGGAGGCTCAGCTTCTTCACCCATCAACAGGAGGATTACATCTAATGTAGGCAAATCATCTATTACAGATGCCTAATAAATGATATCAAAGAGAATAGAAAAACAAAAATCTTTTATGATGTATGGGAAAAAACATGCTGATACAGCCGGTTATTCAGGGTCAACCAGCCATCCTCCAGCAAAGCAGAAATACCAACTCAATGAGTTGATGCTAGAATTTTTCACATGGCTACTTGACCGTTGTGGAAGTAAATTGGTTGAAATACTCTTAGTATGACATGGTAAGTTACATTTGTTTGAACCTTGTCCTGTGAAAGCATTATCTGTCCCAAACAGTTACCAAAATGCTTAACCAAAGAAAGTTATTCTTATAATGAAATTATAATAGGGATTTATAAGAGGGAATTATAAGAGAGATTATAAAAGGAATTATTTTTGAGTAGGGGGAGCCATTTGGGAGTGCTTCAAGATACCCAATAGAAGATGAACAATTATGATTTCTCAGTGAAAAGTAAATTAAGAGCAAAAAAATGAGTTAAAAAATCTGATGAATGTAATATACTTAATGTGTAGGATGTCTCAAATTTCCAGTAAATAAATTTTGATGTCCAAAAATACCCACTGTGTCTGTATGTCACACTGATCCTGTTTCCCTTACATTTTAGGATTTCTGTTAAAAGCTGTGCACCCCCTTTGCAGAAAATACACATTCACATACACACACATTTTTATATGACGTGTGCGGGGGTTAGGGATGCAACCCCTCAGTGAAAGAATGCCTATTCCTGATAAAGAACCTGAGCCTTCGCAGTTAAATCACTCTCAAGCCACAGACATAACCAGAAAACTCCCTCTCACTCATGCTGGTCTTAAAACTACACAGCCAAAATTCAGAGGCACAATTTATGCCACAACTGCAGACTTTGTGGTTTCCGTTTTACATACATACTAGCATCTATAAATAATCCCTTATTCTGTGAATAAATTCTTATTTAAAACAGAAGAGAAAAATAGGAAGAGGGCAAAGAGAGGGCGGGAAAATCTGTTGACGACAAGTTGAAATGCTAACGTTTTTTAGGACAAACTTGTTTGACAGTTGCTTTGGATATTTTTAGGGATGGAAGGGCATGGACAGAACGGGAAAGAAAAGCCTCCAGGATTCCATGAGGGCTCCAGGGAAAAGTAGACTCTGTTTCCATTTATCTCTGCTCTTTTCCAAGCCTGTAGCCTCAAGTTCAGAAAGCCACTTGATCTGAGCATACCTCGGCTCTGCCAAATGTTAAGTGTGCCAGTGTAAATTCTTCCTACTTTCCTACAGAAGTCTCTTTTCCAAGGCACTTGGTGAAGCCTTGAGAGGTCATGATCATCACAGACAGTCTCCTGTAGTCTGAGGGCCCTCCCTTTCCATTCACCCCGACCCCTGACCATCTGTGCTCGTTAGGGATTCCCAGATGTCAACCAAGCCTGAACTGAGCATGACCCTGGGGATCTTAGCTGGAGGCCATTCATCATGTGCGGTTGACCTGTGGGCTGGGCTTTGCCCTCAACAAGCTGTGGAACTCTGGGCTGGCCCTCCCAGCTCTTCCAGTAGGATTTGATTTCCCAACTGTGAGATGAGGGAGGTGCCTTTTGATGCTGAGTCTATGATCTCTCATTGCAAGGGAAACATTCAAGGATGTCTGTGGATAAAGCTGCCAGCAAGGCAGCAATAGTGTGAATTAACTTATTTTAAAGCAATGAAAGAGTGATGGGAAAGGAGAAGGAGGACATTGAGAGATTTTTCCCATTTTTTTTCTTAGCGTTGTTCAGACTCTGAATAAGACAGGAATTCATGTTCAGAATTCACATGTAAAAGACAAAGGAGAGAATATGTTCCTCATCCTAAAAAGGCACAAACATGCATAAAGGAAAGCAAGTCTTCTTATTCAAATCCTACCAGTGCTTCAGGATTCAGCTTGAATCCTACTTCACACACACACACACACACACACACACACACACACACACAACTCCTCCAATTAAACTATACTGACCACTCTTTTCTCTGATCACCCACAAACCTACTGTTTGCCTTTGTTTTTGTTTGTTTGAGAGCGTTTCACTCTTGTCATCCAGGCTGGAGTGCAGTCGTGTGATCTCAGCTTACTGCAACCTCTGCCTTCCAGGTTCAAGCAATTCTCCTGCCTCAGTCTCTCAAGTAGCTGGGATTACAGGTGCCTGCCACCATGCCTGGCTAATTTTCAGTAGAGATGAGGTTTCACCATGTTGGTCAGGTTGGTCTCGAACTCCTAACCTCATGTGATCCACTCACCTCGGCTTCCCAAAGTGCTGGGAGTACAGGCGTGAGCCACCATGCCCAGGCTACCTTTGTTTTTAACCCCTGGGTATTTTTTCCTGTTTCCTGTTCATCTGTACTGGTCCTGACTTCCTAGTAAAACGAACAGCTTCGTTTTTATTGTCATCTCCATTAGTATCCCCTAGAGCCCTGTATAAAATGCATCATTTTTTAAAAACTATAGAACTAAATTAAATTGATAGGCAAAAGAGAATCAGACACAGGGCTGGAATTTTCATTGGCAGGAGAAACAGGAGTGGGTTCTACTGATATGGCTGTCACCCTTCTATCCATATCTAAGTGACATCCAGAGAAGAGCAGTTTTCCTTCTCACATCCTTCAATTATTGAAAGCTCACTATGTGCCAGGCATTATGCTCTCCATTACGTTGTGTGATGACCAGTAGCTTTATCTTCTACAGCAGAACAGTGCATTTGCAAGTGCCATTTTTTCAAGCACCCCCAAATATGTGAGTCACAAAGGTTAATTGTTTTCATACCGTTTGGGCAGAAAAGTCAAACCTATGGAAAGTCCTCTCTATGACTTGCAAATGGTCAAAACCCAAAACAAGGTACTTGCAGCTGGGTGCTTTCCAAAAAAGAAGAGAAAAACAAAACCAAATCCTGCCTCCGGACATGAACAAGCCATTCCTTCAAAGCCCAAGCCCTTTCAGATACAAGTCCTGCCCAAGAGGGCCCCAGAGAAAGGGGAGGGGATAGCCTCTTCCCTGCTCTTGCTGGAACAGAGACGAGAACCCAGGCTGCCCCAGCCAAACTTGGCTCGATCTTATTCACTCAGAAGAGGAAGCTGCCCTCAGGGAAATGAAAAGATTACATGCAACACTATTTACTACAAAAAAAACCCAAAAACCAACCAAATAAAAAAACCTCGCCCAAAGCAGAGCCAATGAGAATGCAACAACACAGATGCAAAAATAATTTATTGTAAATGCTTTTAAATCATTCTCCATTAAAATTTGTCATTACTTTCTAAAAAAATACAAACACGCTAAAGTTCACATTTGACATGTAAAAAATAAAGAGGAAGAAGAGAAATCCACTAGTTCCACTAGTTTTTTTTTTTTTTTTTTTTTTTTTTTGAGATGGAGTTTTTTGCTCTTGTTACCCAGGCTGGAGTGCAATGGCGCGATCTCGGCTCACTGCAACCTCCGCCTCCTGGGTTCAAGCAATTCTCCTGCCTTAGCTTTTGTATTTTTAGTAGAGACAGGGTTTCACCATGATGACCAGGATGGTCTCGATCTCTCGACCTCGTGATCCACCCGCCTCGGCCTCCCAAAGTGCTGGGATTACAGGCTTGAGCCACTGCGCCCGGCCAAGTTCCACTAGTTTAAGGAACAATCCCTAAAATGAGACAATGATCTGTAGTACCTGTATCTTCTAGTTAAACAAGAAAGCAAATTCACATTATCCAGAGTCCTGGGTCATAAAGACTCAAGTCAAATCTAGTCTGAGGCAGATACTCTAGCATGTGCCCACACACGGCTGCCCCTCACACTGATTTTAACCCAGAGCTGATTTAACTGAGAGACTGGGGCTAGAAATCTGTCAAGATACAGCACAAAACTCTTTCTCCTGGTAAATTTCTTTTCCCAACAAAACAAATACTCCGTTCCCTCAGGACAGGCAATTCTGTATCTGTAAACAACCCGCCAAATAGCTGGCAAAACCTTCCAACAACACATTTTCAAAGGAGAGTGGTTCTTCTTGTATCACCACCATCTGTAACAGGACATGCAATCCTTGCCTGAAGACACCGAGTCCTACAGGAAGGTTTGTAACACTGGGCAACAAAGAGCCAATGCATAATATCCATAGTAGACGTTCAACAGCCTTAATGATTCTCTAATGGAAGTTTATAAAAAATACAAATGGAATGACTATCCAAAGTGATAGTAGGATGCGGAAAACTCACAGGGACTCACGTTTCCAAAAAGGGTGTTCAGGAATCACAGGAACAATGAGGAGTTGCAAAACAGTGAAGAAACACATGGCTCCCATCTGTAGCTAGCTATATATAGAGATCTCAAAGTAACCTGAGTGGTGTGCCTAAGGCTGGTTGGCTGAGATACTCAGGTGCAGGTCATGGAAGCATCCACAGCCACACTGCTGAGGTCTTCTAAAGTGCCTTCCTTTTCTTCACACCCTGGCTTAGAGGTAGATCAAATCGAATAGTGGAGGGAAGAAGGGTGATTTCAGTGAATGATTGGCTTAGTCTTCCTAACCTGGCTGCCTGCCTCTCTCTGCTCTACCAGCTCATGCTTATGTGATCCTAACTAAAAGAAGGCAGTGCACCTCTGTGCTAAAGATAAAGCAACCCAGGTGGGTGGTGTGCTTCAAGAACAGCAGTGAGCCATGACAGCACCATCGCACTCCAGCCTAAAGGATAGAACACCACCCTGTCTCAAAAAACAAAAACAAAAAAAGAATACCAGTGACCTCCCACAGCGGGACACACCTGCTGACACTATCTGCCCCTACCCTAGCTGGCTTCCTGCCTTTGTCAAGACTGGACCCAGCCGAAGCAGTGCTCAGGAGCTGTTTTACTGGGCTTGGAGCCAGATTGCAGAATCAGGGGAGAAAGGAGTCTTCACCTCCCTGGTTGTTGCTCGTGTTCTGAATGAATTCACAGAATCTTTTCTGTAAAACAGTGAATTCCCTTCATCTCTAGGACTCGGTGGAGCACTGCTTTCAGACGCAGACCGACCTCCATCACTTCATTCTAAAAAGATAACACAGATGAACAAAAGTTACTGATTTTTAAAACCATATCAAACACTTATGTTTTTATTTCATTTCACTGGATTTGAGTATAAAATCTTGGATAAAATTGCAACGTTTATAAATTCCTAACAGAGGAAGTTTACTGTTCAGTCCACATACACACATACCCCTCTGAATACATTTCAAAAGGCAAATCGCATTTCTTGTTTGTTGCTTATTTGTCTGGGTAGGATGCATGAGAAATCCAATTTTGATGATGTGGTTTTTGGGTGCTGAAGACATTTTAACATCCAGGCTTTTTTCATAATTAACCATGAACTCTGAAGTTTCAGTTTTTAAAACGTGTATAATATACTGTGAGAAATCTTGATAAGAGAAACACTGTGAACCCTCGGGCGAGGATGTAGGTGCAGACAGATGCAAATCCCTCAGCATACACACACACAGAGCCTGCCAGGGTCTACACAGCCGGAGTCCAGCCTCAACACCACTGACAGGACTGACAAGATTCACTATTTCCCTACCTGGGGCTTTTCCCTCTGCTCTCTCACAAAAATCCTGGTTTTGCCCTTTTTCTCTATGCAGTCTATCAGCTCCTTCCCATGTGAGAACAGTATCAAGTACCTTCTCTGTGTCCAAAATAACCCCTGATGCTGACCTGTTCCTTGACATTTGTAAAACAGACTTCCCCATCTTAGCCTGGGACCCCACTCATCTAGAAGGTGAAGAAGATCAAAGATAGGGAAGGGTGCGGGACGGTGGACTTGAAAAATTTTATCATTATATTTCAAGGAAGGTTTTTTTTTTTTTTTATAAGCCATCAAAATATGCATGCAGTCAGGTCAAAATAATCACCATAGTTCCAAATTAGAGAATGAGAAGCATATACACACAAAACCCCTCAGGAGTACAAATTACAATCTAATTTCAGATTCAGCTTCTAAAGTGCACATATACAAACCCCAAATGGAATGGACCATAGGCTGGCTCCAGGAAAATACTCAGAATCCCTGAAATTGTCTATACAATTTTGTGTTGTGGGGAGAGGTAGGCACATTTTTTTTTCCCTGGGGAGAGGCACACAGCTCTCTTCTAATTCTCTAAGGGGCAAACAAACCAAACAACTGTAAGCATCTTTGCTCTTTGAAGACTAAGAACATTACATCGTGGGACACTAGTTGCCCAGCTAATCACAGGGCGGTGGGGGAATCCCTCAAGCACACAGCTCATGTGCACGTGGAAACTGGCGTAAGAACTCACTCCGTCCCTCTTGGTCCCTCCCAGGGCCCTGGGCCTCTCGCTGACACATCTTCCCTCTCTCTCAAGCTTGCCTCTCAGCTCACCCCTCATCTGGCTGCCTGTGATGAGTCTCTCTTCTTTCCTCACTTCCAAATTCTTTTCCTGTGCACCCTTCCCTTTGAGAGGGCAGAGACGCTCACATTTTGAAATCATAAAATGGCTCAAATATTGCACATGTATGCTCTGGAAAGTGGAACATGGGGTCGCAGAAAACCCCACATTTTCCGAGCACGTCCACTCAGATGAAACGTCTGAGAGAAGAGTGCAATTTCCAAAACAGCAGACTTTGTTCCAGTCGCAGCTGCCTTCCCAGCACTGAGCCCTGGGGAAACACCGGAGTCTCTCTGACAAGCTCCGGGTCTTCTCAGAGCTCTGCTCAGGCCCCAGGACAGCCTACCCTGCGCAGCCCATCTTGTGCTGTATGAACCTCGCAGCCTCGGAATCCTCTTAAACCTTTCCTCAGACCTCTGCCCACCTCCCTGGCCTCTATTTGGAAAGAGCCAGTAACAATTTTTGGAAGGGGCCTAAGAAAATCAAGACCAACCACACCACAGCGGCAGCCTTCACAGGCATCGCAGGCCTCTTTACACAGGTGGAGGCTGAAGATTTGTTGTGGGGTGGGGGGTAGTGGTTGTTTCCTTTTGAGACAGAGTTTTGTTCGTGTGGCCCAGGCTGGAATGCAGTGATGCGATCTCAGGTCACTACAACCTCCACCGCCAAGGTTCAAGCAATTCTCCTGCCTCAGCCTCCTGAGTAGCTGGGATTACAAGTGCCTGCCACTTCCCCTGGCCAATTTTAGTATTTTTAGTAGACATGGGTTTTCGCCATGTTGGCCAGGCTTGTGTTGAACTCCTGACCTCGGGTGATCCACCTGCCTTAGCCTCCCAAAGTGCTGGGATTACAGGCATGAGCCACCAGCCTGGTCTTTTTTTTTTTTTTTTTTTTAATTCCTGTATTTGGGGCACAACCTCTTCACTCCACACACGTATATTGTCTGCCTGACCCAGAGACACATGTTACTGAGGATGCTCTGTGAGGAAGCTCTCCATGTATGAGACTCTTCCAGTGAGCTAAAATTTGGCCTTCTGAATTGGATTCTTAAGAACTGCTTTACATAACTTTTTGCCTTCTTAGGCCAACAGGATTCTCGCCTCTCATCCTCCAGAAACATTGTCATCATATTAAACACCTTGTCTTGTACTATGCACTAACACGTGTGTTTTTAAGCCTCTGTTTCATGCTTTTGATTCTAGACCGTTACTGCACCTGCTGCCAAGCACAGCTACTTCTAATTTGCCTTTCTCACTCATTCAACTAGTATTTCCTGAGTACCTGCGAATGTGGAGAAAGTGATTCGGCTGGACTGTGGATGAGAACATAAAATACCCAAGATCGTTGGCATTATGGGCTAAATAAGAGTAAGCAAGCCTCCAAGCGAGGTATCAGAAAGTGAGATCCCAGCAAAGGCCAGAGCTTCACTACACAGCAATGAAAGGACATTTGGAAGCCTTGAAGCCATTTGGCCTTCCAACCTTCCTTTCTGCCAGGTTTTGTTCCGAGTGTTACAAGTTCTGAGAGTCTGACAAATGGGGTGTTTGTTACATTTATTAAACAGCACATCTATTTCCTTGTTCTGTTCTTTGTTTTAAAAGTTGATGAGTCAATTTGTCATCATTTTCTAAGGAAAGAAATAATCTTGTCTTTGTACACCCCTCAATTAATTTCTTAATGGTCTCAGTGGCCTTCAACAGAAAAAGAAATAGGTTCCCCATACTGAGATACTCTTTCAGCAATTTAGCTATATTCTTTATTTCAAATTCTTCAATTCTTACTTCTCTTGTGAAACCACAGTATCTCCATGAGGGTTGCTAATCATGTTGTAAAGTAGGATACAGGACTTAGAATGTGGGTGAACTGCATGAGGAAACATGTAGCAATGTTCATCTATAGTTAAATTATCTTTTCCATGAGTTTTCCCCAACTACACTGTCTAATTCTGGAGGGCATGGAACGTGTAGGCTCCACACAGAGTGGAACATCACCTCCCAGCAACACCGTAACTCTCTGCCTGAGTTATGAGGCAGAAAGTTACAGTGCTGAGTGGATGAGTAAGTTAATGAATAGTCTGACACAGTACCAAGTCACCAATGTTGACAAATCTAACCACGTCAATCTGACCCCAGTCTGGTTCACCTGTTTATTGTTGCAGCTCTGACTTCTTTACTTGCTCTACTTACCATCGAGCAAGAGGGATGCTGGATCAAGCCCCAGATTCTCACAACCGGGTATGTTCTGATCATGGAAATCCTGTAGCAAAATGCCCAGCACCAACTCCTCACTCATCATATACTTCATAAAATTTTCATCATCTGATGGAATCCCAAATTGCAGGTGGTAGGTTACTGTGGCATTTTCACCACTGAAAGGCAAACCAGAGGCATTAAAACATAAATAGCATCACACGGCAACTCAAAAAACGAGTTTAAGGATAGGCAAGGAGCTCCCTCTCCTGGCCAGAGGTGACATAGGCCGATACTCTTGGATCTTACAAGGTGGCTGACAATTGTTTATTCTACTGCCGCTGGGAGATGTGCCAGATCCTGCAGATCAAATGAATAATGGAGAGTGAGGACTCTGAAGAAACTCGCGGTTTCAAGGATGCCACTACAGGAAGCCCGAAAAATGCACTTTCAAACTGCAGTCCGGCTACCCTAGTTTGCAGGTGTCTTAACTTGTTCCCTGAGCTCTGCCCTCTAATTACGGCTAATGATGATTAACACCTAGACAGGCAGCCACCCTCATTCCCAGGGGCAAGGGCTTCAGCTGGCTAATAAAGACAGCCAGAGGCTGACTTTCAGAAGACCAGGTCACAAGCTGAATGGGAAAATCAGGCCACCTAGCCTGACCTGGCTAGCCCATCCTAATCCCCCATGGCAGGTCACAGGGTAAATTTACATAAGGCTGAATTTTGAGAAAAGAGCCATTTCCAGTTGCCCACCACTGGAATGAGTCTAGCAGCCAATAAATCAAAGGGCATTTTTCCAGGTTCCTGTTGGGCCAGTCTAGGGCTGAGGTCACGATGCCCCTGTAGACACAAATGTATGTGTCGGGGATTTAGCCACCTCCCACCCATGTGCGGCAGTGTCCTTTGGGAAGCAATGGCTTTCCTTCCTCAATTCAATACTTTAGAACCTCTGCCTGGACTTCTTGAAATAAAATGCAGAGATGTCACCATAAGTACCATGTACACTGGAGGTTTTTTTTTTTTTTTTTTTTTTTTTGAGACGGAGTTTCGCTCTTGTTATCCAGGCTGGAGCGCAATGGCGCGATCTCAGCTCACCTCAACCTCCGCCTTCTGGGTTCAGGCAATTCTCCTGCCTCAGCCTCCTGAGTAGCTGGGATTACAGGCATGCGCCACCATGCCCAGCTAATTTTTTGTATTTTTAGTAGAGATGGGGTTTCACCATGTTGACCAGGACGGTCTCGATCTCTTGACCTCGTGATCCACCCGCCTCGGCCTCCCAAAGTGCTGGGATTACAGGCTTGAGCCACCGTGCCCGGCTTTTTTTTTTTTTTTTTTTTTTTAGAAAGAGTCTCACTCTGTCACCAGGCTGGAGTGCAGTAGCACAACCTCAACTCGTTGTAGCCTTCACCTCCCGGGTTCAAGAGATTCTCCTGCCTCAGCCTCCTGAGTAGCTGGGATTACAGGCATGTGCCACCACACCCAGCTAATTTTTGTATTTTTAGTAGAGACAGGGTTCCACCATATTGGCCAGGATGGTCTCCATCTCCTGATCTTGTGATCTGCCCACCTCGGCCTCCCAAAGTGCTGGGATTACAGACATAAACCACCACACCCAGCCCATTGCGGGTCTTTAAAGAAGGAGATCAAAGGCAGCCTGCACAGTATGTATTTGTAGACTTCAGGTCTCTTTGGCCCCATATCATGGTGCTACCGGCCACCTGCTTTACATTCCTCCCTTCCCAGGTCTGCTAATATTATTAGGGTTTGGAGAACTTAAGGTTTGAAAAAGGAATCTCAATATAATATAACTTTTGATGATCATATTCCAGAGCCATCTCAGGAATAATGGAATAAAGCTTTGATATAAAATTTAAGTCATCTCCAATAGTCCCAATAATGTAAAAGGATAATAAACCAACTCCACACACATACATCCTGATGCCTACATCTCAAGAACATTAAAGATGAGAGGAAATTTTTAAAAATAAAAAATGCATATGGGTGTGTGGCATCTGTAGTACCTATAGTAGATACACAAACAGAAGCAATCACACTCAACTCTCAACAGCTATTAACTCCATGGAAGTGAATAGTATCAGTTATTGGTGGTAGAGGAGAATAAAGGAAGCAGAAGGTAGACTTTTCCTTTACATACCTCTTTATGTCTTCTCTTCTTTTTTTTTTTTTTTTTTAATGACAGAGTCTTGCTCTGTCGCTCAGAATGGAGTGCAGTGGCGCAATCTCAGCTCACTATAACCTCTCCTCCTGAGTTCAAGGGATTCTCCTGCCTTTGCCTCCTGAGTAGCTGGGATTACAGGCACCAGCCACCATGCCTGGCTAATTTTTGTATTTTTAGTAGAGACAGGGTTTCACCATGTTGGCCAGGCTGGTCTTGAACTCCTGACCTCAAGTGATCCACCCGCCTCGGCCTCCCAAAGTGCTGGGATTACAGGCATGAGCCACCACACCTGGCTCCTCTTTATGTCTTTAATAATAAAGGAGTAATACAGGAGAATGTACTCCTGTATTACAAGTAATACATTCCCCTGTATTACTTGTGCTGCTCAAAAGCAAATGCCTATACATAGATTATATCACTTACATCACAGCATTACCTGAGACCGCTTTCTGCTTCTACCCCTAGCTTATTTGAGCACTCATTGTCAAATATAAATAATTTATCTGGGACTGTGTGACCCTGGTTGAATCATACCATTAATCTGGGCTTCCTTTTTCTCATTTGTAAAATAACGGAGTTGAGCCCGTTGGTGTAAAAGACCTTCTCAGCACTGATGCTCTATGATTCTATTACTGGTTCCCTCCATGCTCTGAGGCTCTGGGAAGGCCTGCTAGGTAAATGATGAAGGGTGGGGTGGGGGGATGTTTTTCCAAAGAAAGAGATCAAAATGTAATGTTCCACACTCTTACCTGAAGTCCATTATTTCAACTGAAGTAAAATAACGACTCAGAGAGGGCGATGTACTGTACACATCTGTGAGCTAAAACAAACAGAAGCAAATAAAACCACACACATTACTGACAGATCACATTACACATCACCTGACAAAGCAAAACTACTTTAAGACAAAGGAGATTCCACTCTAGCCTGGAATCAACTCATCTGGAGGTTTTGGATCTAGACATAGGAAGGTTTGAGCCTATTGTAAACCAAAACTCCAGTTAACACTATTTCAAAATAACTGCATTTATAAGGACCACATGACTCAGCTTCTCTCAGAAGTTACACTGGCACCTCGTAGCCTTAGTGGTGAGAAGGTCAGCAGCTGGAGCCCACACAGACCTCACAGACCGTGGGAAGGAGAGGAGACCTGGAAGCAGCTGCTGGACAGCAGCAGCACAGACCACTCAGCACCTGGGCCATTGCTTAGCCCGGGGTTTCTTTCTTCCTTCTCCAGAGCTTCATTGCAAAGACAAACAGCCATGCTAAGCCATGGGTCTAGCACATCCCCGGACAGAGAGGGGAACTGCAGATAGGGAGGCTTTATTTTATGCATGAAATATTGCGAGCATCATTAAAAAAATAATGACACCTGTGTTTCCACTACCTAGTTTTCATGTCTTCACATTTTGCTATATTGGGTTCAGCCCTTTAATTTAAGAAACTAAAATAAAGCTAAAGTGACTCCTACATACTATTCAGTTCCTCCTCTCTCTCTTCCTTAGTACTTACCATCATCCCGAAGCTGGCACGGATCTTTCCTTGCAAATCACTACTTCCTTATATAATCATAACAAACTATAATTTGTGTTTTTATTCAAACAAAAGGCACCATATTCTACATAATCTTCTAAAACTTGCTTTTTTTTTTTTCACTCAAAATTACATTTAAGATTTATCCATGAAGTAAATCTCAATAAAGGGTATTCACCTACCTTCTGCATAGATTCCTTTAAATGATGATGCCAGCTTATCCATTCTTCTACAGATGATCACATGCACTATTTCCAACTTTCCCCTATTACAGCCTGAGCTGAAGCAATCATCCTTACATGTCCCTCCGCATCTCTTCTTGGATACGGAGGAGATTCCACTGGGCATATGCCAAGAAAAGGAATTGCCGGGTCCAAGGGCAGGTGCATCTCCAACCTCACAAAAATCGCTCTCCCTTTCCCATTCCTCCCAGGAATGTATACAGACCCATGTCCCACATCCTTACCAGCACTCGGTGTTACCAAACTTAAATTTCTGCCACTCTGATGGGTATGAAATAGTGCTTCATATTGTTTTAATTTGTACCGCCTTGCTTACTAGTGAGGTGGAACATCTTTTCCTGTGTTTATTAACTCTTTGGGACTTCTCATCTCTGAATTTCTCACTCATTTCCTCTCCTTCTCTTGGCTTATCTGTCTTTTTCTTATTTATCTAAAGTGGTTAGTTTTACATTCTGGATACTAGCTGTTGATATTATGTTACAAAAATATTTTCGCCGGCATTGAGCAGTTGAGTTTCAGAGTTCTGAATCCTAAACTAATAGTACTCAGGAGCATGTGCCATCCCCAGCTATGGTCATCATGGCTTAATGGCCTATTACTTTATTCAATAACAAGCAGTAGAACATACAGAAAACAGCAGTGCCTGTAGGAGCTCACCTTGTGGCCCCTCAACTCTAAATGGAATGTCAAGGACGCTGCACTTCCACAATGCACTCCCATTGAACTCAACATGTACAACCCGTCTCTCAAAGAGAGAACAAAAGATAAGAGCACCTGCTCTTTGTGCTCTTCTAATCTTGTCATTATTGTTGTGAACTTTATAAAAACCTGGCATAACAGGCATTAACATCTCTCCCCTTTTCACTGGAAGATAAAAATAATCTCCGTGAGATTAAGAAACCTGTCCCAGATCACTCTGCTCATAAATAGAGAAGCCAAAATTCAGTCCTAAGTGTTTATGAACACTAAAAACTAGCTTCTTCCCATCTTACCACACTACCCAGTGAGGATGAAATGGATACATATCATTGGATACATATCAAATGTATACATATCATGTTCTGATATGAACATGATATGAAGATGTGAAGAAAAGTGTCTCCTGAATATCAAGGAGGAAAGAAGCATAAAGTGACAAAAACTTTCGGAGAAGATGACTGGGTCATTTCACACCTCTTAAGCCCCAATGCATAAGATGTTGCCGATAAGCTGACAGGCATTTAGCAAACTCAGGAACTAGGAAAGCAGCGTTCACAGGGATGCTGTGATGGGGAGGAGGATGCGGAGGCTGCAGAGGAGAATCTCTTCAAGCACTAATGTCAAGCACTCACGTCTCTCGCTTCCTTTTGGATTGAGCTTCCTAAGGCAGGGGGATGTCCATCCTTCCTTCCACTCTTCCCTGCTTCCTCCTTCCCTTCTTTCCTTTATTAATCTTCAGGGCCCAGTACAGTGTTTTGCACGTAATAGGTTTTCAGCAAAATTTTTAAGTTAAAATTTTCAGGTAACACATGGAGTGGTAGATTAGATCACTTTTGGTGTTCACTGGAAGATTCTTTTTGATAGCATGCTCCTCTGCTGTACTTAGGACATATTTACATTTTGGGACCTGTTAGTCACACTGTCCCACCTTGGGCCCAAAGAAGTGAAGTGGGATGTTGGGGGGGGGGGCTCTTCAACCCTTACTCTGGTGTCTCCCACACAATGTCTATGAGGCTTGGTGCAAACTGAGCAAGGAGCTCAGTGACTTGATTGGCTGAGTCTGATGCAGTGGCTAATTAGACACAGGTTCCAGAATAAGAGAGGTGCCATCAATAACTCCTCACCCATGCACAGGGTGTGGCAGTTCACACGTAACTAAGCTGGCTTAAGCAGAGTAGTGGCCCCAACCCTAAGAGGAAAAAACTGTGGCAGTGACACGTGACAGGGCGTGTGTTTAGAAAAGCCAAGGGCAAGGGCGTAAAGTTCCAATACTGTGATATAATAAAAATATATATACTGTTTAGTCTCTGTCCCAGTTCCTGGCCCAGAATTCCTAAAACCCTTATTATTTCCTGAGGGACAGGGGTGCCAGGTACATCTTTGACTCAAACATTTGGTCTTTACCCCAGCTCCTGACATAGAGCTGCTCCTAAATCTCTTGCAGTTTCCTGGGTTATAGGAGTGTCTTTATTTCTGATGAGGCAACTCTTGGTGGGCTGCTGGATGGGGGCTGATCACCAGAAAGAGCGAGCCACAGCTAGAAGCCTGGAACTTTCCGGCAGTGCGGTGGAGTGAGATGGTGCACGCCTGTAATCCCCGCTACTTGGGAGACTAAGGGGGGAGAACTGCTTGAGGCCAGGAGTTTCACATCAGCCCAGGCAAAATAGTGAAAATTGAAGAAAGAAAGAGAGAAAGAGAGACAGAGAGAGAGAGAGACGGGAGGGAGGCAAGAGGAGGAAGAGGAGGAGGTGGAGAAAGAGGAGGGGAAGAAGGAAGGAAGGAAGGAAGAAGGGAAGGGGGAGGGAGAGATGGAGGGAGGGAAGGAAGGAAGGAAAGAGGGAAGGGGAGAGGAAGGGAAGGGGGAGGGAGGGAGGGAAAGAAGGAAGGAAGGAGAGAAAGAAGACGGGGAAGAAGAGGAAGGGAAAGGAAGAAGGAGGAGACGGGGAAGGAGAAGGGGGTGGAGAAGGAGGAGGAAAAGAGAAGAAGAAGAACATAGTGAGAACTGAAGGAGAAGAAGAGGGAGGAGAAGAAGAGGGAGGAGAGGAAGGGGAGGGGGAGGGGGAGGAGGGGGGAGGGGGGGAGGAGGAGGAGGAGGAGGAAAGTTTTGGCCCCATCTTCACCCCCCATCCTCCAAGGGGAAAGTGGCTGGAGAGAGAGCTAACAATCCATCATGCCTATGTAATGAAACTTCCATTAAAATCTCTAAAAGAGAGTCTGGAGAGCTCCCAGGTGGCTGAACACATCTACACAAGGGAGGCCGGCATACCTGAAAAGGACACGGACGCTCACGCTCCTTCCCACATGCCCGCCCTATGTACTTGTTCACCTGGCTTTTGATATCCTCTTTCCTTTGCAATGTGCGCGTAACTACGATGCTTCCCTGAGTTCCGGGAGCCATTCTAGCAAATGATCGAACCCGAGGCGGGGCTTTGAAAACCTCCCGTTCGCAGTTGCTTGCTCAGAAGCAAAAGTGACAACCTGGACTTGTAATTGGCATCTTAAGTGAGGGAATTTTTGGGGGGCTGAACCCTTAAACTGTGGGGTCTGCACTAACTCCAGGCAGATCATGTCAGAATTCAACTGGATTGCAGGACATCCAGCTGGTGGCAGGTAACTGGTTGGTGTGGAGAAAAAACACACATGTGGCCACAGAAGTGTTCTGCATTGAATGTGAATAAAGAGAAAAAAATAGTTTTTCCTCCACAAATACCCATTTCCATTTACCTTTTATATCCAGAAACTTCTGAAAGTTAACCTAATGGGAGAGAGGAGCTATTGATCTTACAATAAGACAGCAATACCTCCTGAGCATATTTGCTTGGTATATGAAGGGCAGGAATCTGTTACCTCACTATGCCTTACTTTGATCATCTGTAAATAAGATAATTCTTTAAAAATGTTTTTCAAGTTATTTTTACGTAATCTCATTTGCACCTGAGGTATACAGAGAAACTGCACTGATTTCCGTTTATTGGAGAAGAAAATGGCTCAGAGAAATATATGGATCTGCCACAGGCATCAATGTCAGTCCCTGCTCCTTTGCCACTACCTAGTGATGAGCTCAAATGCCCGGAGAATTTCCTCGTATCTGCCTCTATGCAAGAGATATGGTTGTAAGATGAAAAATGAACATTCATTTCCCTTTGAAATAGGCAATCTTCTCTGCTATAAGTGACACAAGTGGATGCTGACTCGTTTTACTTCTGCTCAGCAAATGCAAAACCTTTCCATTAAAAAAGCAACCAAGAATTAAGTAGCAAGAAGCTTCTCACACTGCAACTTGCCTCGGGAAGCAGGTGGGAGGAAAGGAGAAAAGGGAGCTGAAGATAAGATATAAATGAAGAGACTCTGGGGACTCTAGGGAAATGGTGGTGGGGGTGAGGGATAAAAGACTATAAATCGGCTACAGCGTACACTGCCCGGGTGATGGGTGCATAAAATTTCAGAAATCACCGCTAAAGAACTTATTCATGTGACCAAACACTACCTGGTCCCCAAAAACCTATAGAAATAAAAATAAAATAAATAAATTTAAACAACCTAAAAATTTTTTCTTTCTTTTTTTTTTTTTTGAGACGGAGTTTCGCTCTTGTTGCCCAGGCTGGAGTGCAATGGCGCGATCTCGGCTCACCGCAACCTCCGCCTCCTGGGTTCAGGCAATTCTCCTGTCTCAGCCTCCTGAGTAGCTGGGATTACAGGCACACACCACCATGCCCAGCTAATTTTTAGTATTTTTAGTAGAGACGGGGTTTCACCATGTGGACCAGGATGGTCTCGATCTCTCGACCTCGTGATCCACCCGCCTCGGCCTCCCAAAGTGCTGGGATTACAGGCTTGAGCCACCGCGCCCGGCCTAATTTTTTCAAAAATATAAATGAAGAGAAGGAGAAAGAGAAACCTGGAGTAATCATCACAGGATACCAACTCCTGTGATAAAAGAAGCAATCAAATTTCATGCATGGGTACCCAGAAACTGACTCTGATGTGACCTAGATGGAATCACTTCTTCAGGAGCTTTTGTAGGAATCAAATCAAATGGAAGCCAGATAACCAGCACTCACTCTATTCAACCCAGCAATGGCAGAGAAGAGTCTAACAGAGGGCAGGCTGCTCTTGCCTAGATTTTCTTACCAAAATTTCTGGGTCTGGCTGTGAACCACCCTGTCTTTGACAGGATGATCAGGATGGCCCAACCAACCCTCCTAGTCTGGCTGCAGAGCTTCCATCTCACACAGGGGTTCATTCTGTTGCATTTCTCACCCCATGGCTGACACCATCATCCATCTGCCCATCACTCAACCAGAGCCTGGAGTTACGCTCTCCCTCACTACCACCCAGTCAGTCACAGACTCCTGTTGGGTGAGAATACCTCTTAACTCATGCAAATCTTCCTTATTTTCCTGACATTGCCCTAGTTCAAGCCTCCCTCATTTCTCACCAGGACTATTGCAACACCTTCTAACTGATCTTTTCCTCCCGTCTTTCTCCACCAAAACACAGAAAGGTTAAAAGGAATAAATCTAACCATGTCAATCTGCTGATTAAAATATTTTGGTGCCTTACTGAAGAGTGGGAAAGCCTTGAAGACCTGATCCCTGCCTTCCTTTTTAGCCTCATCTCTGCAAGCTGTCACCACACAGCATGGGAAGGCCACAGTATTCTACTTTGCAGATCCTTTAACGTCCCTTGCTTTTTTATTTAGAAAATTCCTACCTCGTTTCAAAACTCATCCTGAGCATCACCACTTAAGAGGCCTTTCACGCCTTCATCTTCACCTCAGGGAGCTCAGGTGCCTCTCCCTCGCCATTGTAAACCATGCTAGAACACATCATGCTGTTATAAACCTATCTTTTTAGTTACTTCCTGTACTTGGACTAGGAGCCCACTGAGGGCACAATGTGGCCTGGCACTTGGCAGGCTGTCTAGCACATCGCAGACCCTCGATGAATACTACAGGTTGGATCAAATATAAGACCTGAGGGAGTAAAAAGAACAGCTTCCTCCAGCATTTATGCAACTGGAGGCCAGGACTCTTCCCTCTGGCTTTGCACTACAGTAAAGATATTTACTTATTTCTTTTTTACAAACTTTTATGTTCAGCAGAAAACATGTACACGTTTGTTATACAGGTAAAGTCGTGTCCCGGTAGTTTGTTGTACAGATTATTTTGTCACCCAGGTACTAAGCCTAGTAGTATCCAATAGTTATTGTTTTTTCTGATCCTCTCCTTCCTCCCACCCTCCCTCCTCCCACCCTCCACCCTTAAGTGAGCCCCAGTGTGTGTTGTTCCCCGCTTTGCGTCCATGTGTTCTCAAGATTCAGCTCCCACTTGTAAGTGAGAACGTGCAGTATTTGGTCAGAAAATATATTTATAAGCATCACTTCCTGCTAAAATCCAGACAAATACTCCAAAATTGAAGCTACTTACTCTATAGCTACATGCCAATTATTCTAGTGAAACTCATAGTCTAATGTCAAGAACTCCTTAAGCAATACATAAGATGGAATTACCCTTTCGGTGAGCAGGTGAGGCAAATCCTCTTCAGCAACACACTCCTCTGGAATCTTCAGCGTGACCAAGAATGTTTTATTTGATGATAATTCAAGTATTTCATTTTCGTCTTCATCAACATAAGTTACTAAAGAGAGTAGGGGAGGTGGAAATGAAAAACAAAAGTAAACACCTGCATAAAATAATAAACTTATTCATTCCATTGGCTACCATACACATAACTATGAGCATCAAGGGTAGAGGCTGAACACAGCAAGCAAGTATAAGCAGAAATGCTTTCTCCACTCAGTAAAATTGAGTAAAATCCAGGGGTCTGCCTCCATCAGGATAAAAAGTTTGTTTTACGGCGAAAGAGCCTCAGATTCCACTGAATACAGACTAAGGAAAGGGCCAGAGGGAGTAGGAAGAATAGGAACTTCCTTATTCAACTGAATCTGCAGCTTAGCTAGGTACACAGGAGTCAAGCCAGGTACTGGGGGATGGTAGGAGAGATGAACATGATTGATGGAGGACAGGAAGTGGGAGCAAACAACTGTGTCAGCTCACTTTCCAATTCTGTGCTAGCAAAGACCGCCAGGAAAAAGTCGTATCATTAACCCAAACAGCAGAGGTGGGACTAGAAAATGAGCATGCAAGCCCATGTCTTGAAGTCTCCCCAGGAAGACAGAAGACAGGCATGAAGTCATCGCTCTAGACTATGTCTCACTGGACAGGTATGTTGACACGCTCTGCTTGCAGAAGGGAAGTTAAACTTGCTGAGAGCCCCAGGGTGTGCAGGAATTACCTTCCTGGGACAATTAGTTATGCGTTGCTGCTTGTGTTCTAATGACTGCTATCTAATTGATTTTTAAGTAGTTGGAACTAAAGGAAAATCACACAAAGTGAGGAGCTAGGCACCAGAAGCTGGCACTAGTGTGCTAATTATGCTCTTCTGGCTCTATGCCGGCCTCACCAGCTGGCCCCATACAGGAGACCATCTCTCTGGCCCTGAGAAAGGCATGGGTGGGAAGAACCAGGTGCTCATATTGCCACAGACATTAAGACCATAGCGGAATAAATTTAGTGTTTGTGATGGAAGGGCAGGTAAAAAGGAGGAAGATTCCTAGTATTCTTGTTACTCACTCTGTGAGGACATCTGGAAATGTGAGGCATTAGGGGCAAGGAATGTGCAGAAAACAGTAATATAGTAGGCCTGAGATTGCTAGCATAAGAAAGGCCTCCTCGAAATTCGTCCTGGCTGGCATCCTAGAACCTGGATTTTGGGAGGGTTCCCACCATTCCCTGATGAGAGGGGCTCACCGTGCCTCAACTATTTGTACACTGTGGCTAACATCTCTTTCCCTTCTGGGAGTCTGGATTTTTGGTGCATGGTAGGCAGAAGCTACATATATGATCAACTGCCCAGTGAAAACCCTGGGCACTGAATTCGTAATAAGCTTTCCTAGTAGATGAGCTCTCACATGTGCTGTCACAGCCTATTGCTAGAGGAACTAAACAAGTGTGGTGCAACTCCACTGAGAGAGAACTCTCGAAAGCTTTCTCCCGGTTTTCTCTGGACTTTGCTGGATAAATCATTTTAGATAATGTATCTTTTTGCTGTAATAGATCATGGTCATCAGTAGGACTGCATGCTGAGTCCTGTGTATTCTCCTAGCAAATCGGTGAATCTAAGAGTAACCTTCGGTGATCCTCAAACATAGAGAATTATCCCTGTGTCCTTACTTGTTATAAATCATGACATTATGTTGTATGATTTTTAAAAAAGTTATGCCTTCATAGCAAAAAACTTGCAAAGTACAGGAAATCATAACAAAGCAAAGAAAAATATTAATAATACTGAAATTAAGAGGGTTTTTCCTCCTCTACTTGATTATATCTGAGGTCTTAACAAATAGGTAATTTATATTCTGCTTTTTGTTGTTTGCTGCTATTACTGCTTACTTATCCTGATTCTTTTGTCGTATACATCAAAAGCCATTTCCATGTGCTTAAAATTCCTTGCAAAGATTATTTTAATTGATTCATAATATTCATAATAGGCTCACCTATTTTCTTAAGGATGACATTGATCATTTTCAGCTTTCTACTTCTATAAATAATATTGCAATGGATATCTTTGAGCTCTATACCTACCATGTAGATTTCCATAATAGACATCAATGCATCAGAAAACAATAGGGGGTGTCAAGAGGATAGATAGAAGATTCAAGTAACTGCTAAACTCAAGGATACTGAGAAGAGATACCAAGTGTGAAAACAGGCCTTCCATAGTAGCTCTAATGAAATGTACTTAATGTGTGTCATTTCATGAATCTGTACCAAGATCTAGCTAAATAAGTTGTGTGTGTCAATACAATAACAACAGTAACAATGGCAGGCTTATCCAGTCAGTAGAGTTTTTATGTTACTAATCAGATAATCTGGGCTGCACTTTTTCATGTTAAAAAAAAAAAACATATTTTAGCCGGGCGCGGTGGCTCAAGCCTGTAATCCCAGCACTTTGGGAGGCCTGAGGCGGGTGGATCACAAGGTCGAGAGATCAGGACCAACCTGGTCAACATGGTGAAACCCCGTCTCTACTAAAAATACAAAACATTAGCTGGGCATGGTGGCGCGTGCCTATAATCCCAGCTACTCAGGAGGCTGAGGCAGGAGAATTGCCTGAAGCCCAGAAGGCGGAGGTTGCGGTGAGCCGAGATCGCGCCATTGCACTCCAGCCTGGGTAACAAGAGCGAAACTCCATCTCAAAAAAAACCATATTTTTTAAAAATCACAAAAACATACGTTACACGTTGAAGGAACACAAAAAGAGCTCTTTGGCGAAATATAAGAAAATTAAGGTTGACAGAGAGGCCTTAAATGCCAGATGCCTTCAAGGGGTAATGGAGTGTTGCTAAACATCTCCTACGAAGAAAGTAGAGGCTGGTGTTTAATGGAGGTTAATCGGGTGGTCATGGATGGGATAAAATAGAACTGGGAGAGAGGAGGCAGAGAGGCCAACAGGCACAAGTTTGGAACAGACTGATTTGACTGACAGTCAGTGGGAACAAAAAGAAAAAAAAATTAATGAGAAAGGCCAGAAGAGTAGAAACAGAGCTGGCTTTAAAGGTAACCAGACTTAGTTTGAACTCCTGCTTGGCTATTTCTTAGCCATGTGACCTCTGAAGCTGCTTCCCCAGCAGAAATTTCAATACCTACAATGTAGGTGATAGCAAAGATGAAAACTAACCTGCGTAAAGTATCTTGCATGCTGTCTTGTAGTAAGTGGGAAAGTTACTATCAAGACACTACCAAGGGATGACTGGTAAGATTTGGCTATTACCTAGATATGGGAAAGAAGAAATCAAAAAGGGTTCCAAGATACCAAGCCGGGAACAGGAAGAATAATAGCTACCGTATTAAGTATGATGCACAAACACTCTGCTATGCACTTTATGCATATATTTTCCTCATGTAATCCTCACATCAACCAAATGAGTTAAATATTGTTGTTTTCATTTTTAAATGAAGGCATCGAGGCTTAGAGAAAATGCATGATTTGTTCAGGGTCAATGAACTAGTATGTCTTAGGGTCAAGGTTTATTTATAGACTCAGATTCCAAAATCATTTACATTTTATAAGTGTGAAAACAGGCCCATAAGGTTGACAAGTTTGCCTAAAGTTACACAACTGGATAGTGGCAGAACTAAAATAAACTTGGTCTCATATAAAGGGCGAGTGAATAGGGGAAAAGATGAGCAAATTGGGATAAAGGATATGCTATGATCCGAATGTTTGTGTCTCTCTGAAAAATGCATATGTTGAAATCTAACCACCAATGTGACTGTGTATTAGTGTATTCTCACACTGCTGTAAAGAACTACCTGAGGCTGGGTAATTTATGAAGAAAAGAGATTTAATTGTCTGGCAGTTCTGAAGGTTTCACAGGAAGCAAGGATGGGAGCCCTCAGGAAACTTACAATTATAGCAGAAGGCTCAGGGGAAACAAGCATGTCTTACCATGGAGGAGCAGGAGAGAGAGAGAAAGAGCAAAGAAGGAAGTGCCACACACTTTTAAACCATCAGATCTCATGAGAACCAATGCACTATCATGAGAAAAGCAACGGGGAAATCCACCCCCATGATCCAGTCACCTCCCAACAGACCCCTCTTCCCACTGAACATGAGATTTGGACACGGACACAGATCCAAACTGTATCAGATGGTCTTGGAGGGTAAGGCCTTTGGGAGGTGATTAGATCATGAGGGGAGAGCACTATGAATGGTATTAGTGCCCTTATAAAAGAGGCTCCAGAAAGCTGCCTTTCTCCTTATACCATAGGAGGATATAGCTAGAAGGCATGATCTACAAAATAGACAGTGTGCCCTCACCAGACAGCAAATGTGCTGACACTTTGATCTTGGAGTTCCCAACCTCCAGAACTGTGAGCAACAAATTTCTGTTATGTATAAGCTACCTAGCTTATGATAGTTGGTTACAGGTAGCCCAAGCAGACTAAGATAGCATACAAACAAATGGTGGTTTCACATGTATAATAATTGAGATGATGATAGTTATTTCTAGATAAAGCTCTCTAGCCAAGAGTATCTCCAAAACTTGGGAAAATTGTACAGTAGTAGATTTAGGAGTCACCTTCTTGGAGGCATGGCTGTCGCCCTGGGAGTGAATGAGCTCTCTAAGGAAAAAAATGAAGAATGTGAAAAATCAGAAGGCTGAACGGAAGCTTCATGAACCCACAATGCAGAGACCAAGAGGAAAAATAGCAAAATAAACCTACAGTCCAGGAGTTCTATAGACTCAGAAGAGTATAATGAAGTTGACAGAGCTAAAGGCTCACAATAAAGCAGGAGACAGAGAAAGACTGGCTTTCATGATCAGACAATTGCTAGTAATCTTGGGAAGAAAAGCTGGGGACCAATAGATACAAGAGGTTTGTGAGTAAGCAGGAGGCAAGATCCAAATGCAGACCTTTCTTTCTGGAACTTTGTCAGTGAAAGAAGAGAGAGAGAAAAATATGTATCTAAATGAAGTAGGAAGAATCCTGATAGAAGATTGCTTTGAAAGAGAGAAGATGCCAGTGCATCTGAAGAGTTAACTCATTTATGCCTGAGGTTGCAACTTTTTG